AAACTGGTGGAGCTAGAGAAACTGAATTCAATTTTAGATTGGTCAGGGCCAAGGATTTTATATAAGTATAAAATCCTTGGGTCAAGGCCGTTATAATTCACCGGAATTTTCTCAAATTTTTCAGAATTGAAGAACTCATCTAAAGACGGTTTTGTCTCAACTTTGAGAATATATATTGTTATTGTACGGAGCAAAATGAAAAGTTGTTTTTTTAACGTGATCGAATATTGGCTATATCGAGGAAGATATAGCCATTATTGTGAACTGTTAAGCTACAGTAGAAAATTAGAAATTATATTACTGTTCTATAAATAAAAGAAAGATTTATTTATAATTTAATGCATCTTGATTAGTCAATCGACACGAGCGTTCACTTCACTGACCGAAAAAGTGATTGGAATGATGTATCTCTAACAGCACCAAAATTTTCAAAAATTAAAGTACCTTCTAAAGGCGTTTATGTACGCACCTGGGATGCCTAAACACGCTGCGATTGTCGGTTTTTGTGCAAGTGCTTTCATAAAGAAAAAAAAACAAAAACTCGAAAACTGGTTTAGCTAAAAAGGAACTGAATGCTGATCAGGGTTGATCAGACAATAATGTCTACCGGAATTTTTTCAGATTTATATAAACTTTTTGAAAAAATCGATGGCCAAACTATTAAACTGTTCATCTAAATGCTGTACCGTACGCAACTGTGATCGCAGAATACGCTTGGAGGGTCGGTTTTTGACGTGTTAAGAAGAAAAATCTTTACTAGTTTAATGTAATAATTTCTATTTATTTGGAACAGATAAAAATTTTGACACATTATAGGTGAGTCTCTAAATGTTTCTTATAGAATTTCATAGTCAATAATCAATTTAATGTGTAAATAAATATTGAAACTAAGCATGTTATACATAATTTGACCTCTTTCGCACATAGTCATTTCATAGTCAATAATCAATTTAATGTGTAAATAAATATTGAAACTAAGCATGTTATACATAATTTGACCTCTTTCGCACATAGTCATTTCATAGTCAATAATCAATTTAATGTGTAAATAAATATTGAAACTAAGCATGTTATACATAATTTGACCTCTTTCGCACATAGTCATTTCATAGTCAATAATCAATTTAATGTGTAAATAAATATTGAAACTAAGCATGTTATACATAATTTGACCTCTTTCGCACATACCTATATGTAAATTATAGACTATACTCGACGGCCGAAGTTATAGATAGTGATTCATCGCTAGCTCTTGGACTAGTAAGGAGGATGAGGCGTGCGGGGATCGAAAATCCATAGACGTGTATACGTAAAAGGCAACAAGATGTAGAAAACATGGAAAAAACATAATAAAACATAACATCTATTATTTTTAGAGGTTTTATCGAGAAAACTTCAAAAATATTTTAGTAACATTTTGTTTTTAAATTTTAAGTGTTTTCTATAAAACGATGCCCTCTTGGGCATCGATAACCCACCACCACCCGGCTTACGCCGCCGCAAAATATTGTAATGTTTACTATTAATATATTTATTTAAGTAGGTACTTACATATTTTATAATAATTATCTCACGAATATTATCACTGTCACACTTTCACTTCACTGCCACATAATCACTTCACTATTAATATATTTAAATACTTACATATCACATTATTCACATTATATATTTCACATATCACTGTTGCTATCACTATCACTAGAATCATCTTCACCCAAATGAATAATGACTGGTTCTATGAACACTTCTACCGTTGTATCAAGATCCCACATACGTTGTTCCTCTTTCTGTGCATGTCCAATACACTTACACCATGTTTCAGCAGTGACGTGATTAATAGCATCCTGTAATAATAATTTCACGTCGTTTATTTTAAAGGTGGTGTTTTTTCGTGCGATTTCATTCTTTATTTGTGCCCAAACCAACTCAATTGGGTTTAATTCACAGTGGTATGGCGGTAAACGGAGTACACGAATTCCTCGATCTTTGGCCATCTCATCCACTACATACTTAATGTATTGACCTTTTTCTCTTTGGACAATTTTTAATAATTGTACTTTTAGCATGGTTTCTGTATATTCAATATTTTTCGATTGTAACCAGTCCATAATATTTCCTTTTCTCCATGCTGATGTCGGTAACATTTCAACTCTTCTACTATGATAAGGTGCGTTATCCATCACAACAACTGCTCCTGGCTCCAGATATGATAAAACATATTCAAACCATTTTTCAAACACGTCGCTGTTCATATCTTCATGATAATCTCCCGTTTTTCGTGACTCAAATACATGCAAACCATTTTCTAAAAATCCCGTATCGCTTCCAATATGTGTTATAATCAATCTTCGTCCTTTTCCAGAAGGTGCCTTTAATCCAGTAGAAAATCCATCTAAAAATGCTTGTCTCTTACTCTTAACATTACCATCCTGCCAAACTTTTGATACAGTATGACCTTCGTTTACCCATGTTTCATCCATGTAATATATCTTCTTACCAGATGCACGAAGTTCTCTTATTTTTTCTAAGTATTCTCTTCGCCATACCACAATTTCGTCTTTTTCAACGAGCATACTATTCCGATTCCGTTTCAAATATCGAAAATTCATGTCACGCATTATTCTTCTAAGAACCTTATCAGAGAAATTAGGAATATCCTCATCTTCAGCTATTGCAGCTTGAATTTTCTTTATCGTTGGTATTTCATTTCTAAAGAAAAATCCATGAATTTTCCTACGTATGGAGTATTTCACGTCAACGTCGACTTCTATTTTCTTCCTCCCTCGTGTTTCCACTTTTTTCTTCTTTGGATTCACTTCTACACTATTTTTTATGGCACGATAAACAGTAGCAACGGATACTTTTGTCAACGAACTACACATATCAACAGCTTCACTTACACTTGTATTAGAATTTCGCGACCGAATTCCTTTATACACGTTTTTTACCATTATTAATTCCGCATCGCATAGGTTAGGGCGTTTATGAGCAACAGACCGTTTGCTACAACCGGCACTTTGATCCATTTTAATTATTATTCCTACGTTTTAAAACGTCCCGATTGTATTTTTTTAATTTATAAATTTACTATAGTCACGGAATATGCAAACCCTCGCGCGCGCTTATAGTTTGACGTTTCTAACTACGGCTAACTCGAATTCTACGTACGTCCGTTTACACCCACTAAAAAGAGCATTTCCCTATCTGTAATAAGTGCGATAGACAGAGATAGGAAATAAATCGCGTTCAGTGTAACTCAGTCTATGACTGTTATAGATCCTATCGATGTGCAAAGAGAGCGGCACATCATTTAACATAAGCAAATAATATTGAACCGTTATAAAAATCATTTTAAGTTTTATACACTTTACGGTAATAGTGTTTCTATGTATATTATGTATGAATCACTATCTATATTTTCGGCCGTCGAGTATATGAAAGGAAACATTTTGAAATTTATTAATTACTGGGCGTGATTTTATTGTTGGAAAGTCTTGGGAATGATAATACAAGAGGCGTCTCATCAAATGGGTCATGAAAAAAGTATAGCGTCATTTGGGTTGAGGGGGTTAAATTAATTTTGAAGGGTTAAAATAATTTTGACAACATTTTTTTATTGAGAACTATTGTCTAAAATAATTCAAATAAAAATAAATGTAAAAAAAAATTTCGAAAAATTCATTTTTAGGTGGGTAGGGGGTGGTTTTACAAGGGTGTAGAAATAATCCAGAAATAATTTTTTCGTCGAGCTATCCCAAATTAAAAAAAAGAAGGTTCTACGTCCCATAGAAGCTGAGATATTACAAATTTGACATTGTCAGTTTTTTTCCTGGTTGAGAGGAAGATCCCCCCACCACCTCTCCCTGAAGGGCTACTGACGCGTACCCTTACTTTGACGGGCTCTGGATTGATCAATTATGGGCAAATTTAATTATAATTAACAGGGTATAAAGTTTAAACCTTCATTTACAAAAAGTTAAAATTTCAGGTCTTAATTTTTATAATAAATTGCTGATTAAAAAAAAATTGCTGACTCCGGTCGTAGAAACTTGTTTTTTTTTCAATTTGTAGGTTTTTTACTAGCTTTCGAATGGTGTATATAACTTCTTTCAAACGTTAAAAATCGCGGAGTTATTTTATTTGATTATTAGGGAAAAAAGTGTCTTTTATTTAATAACAATTATATACAACTAAATTTGAAAAAAATATATTTTTTATTTTATTTAACTGGAGAATACTTGGTGCCTCTTCGAAGAAATGAACCCAAAAAGAATGTTTTAGTCATAACCCTGTCCCCGGAATAGTCATTTGAAAATGAGCCTTTTTTGCAAAAATGGGATAAATAAATGGAATTTTGCAAAAACTATTTGACCGATCGAGCCCATCTTTTGCACATCTTTTAAGGATATAATAACTCGCAAGTTATTAACAATTAAAGAAAAAGCACTTTTTCCGTTTAATTTTGCAATAAATTTTTTGTTTATGAAGCAATTTTAACTTATAAAGTCTAATTTTAAAGATGAGTTTGCTCTAGATCAAATCGTCTCCCAAGACTTTCCAACAATAAAATCACGCCCAGTAATTTTCATGATTTCTCGATGATTTTTCACCTTTATTTCTTGGTCTACTATTGTAGTAGCATTAAATTCTCAAATTACGTATTATTAAAGTAACCCATAATATACCCTTTCTATGAACAGTATATCTGTTTATTTACCACCGTTGTTCGTTGTTTATGTGTGTTTATAGACGTTCAAAATTGCCTTTATAAGGTTTTATTGAATGTCACGTAGGTCCACTGAAAAAGTAGGACAAAGGCAATGTTAAGAAAAAAATTAATATGGGTTATACGATGTTCTAAAGTAGGTCCAATAAGAGTTCACAAATCATTAAAATGTAGGTTGAAGCATTTTATGTCATCGGTATAAATAAGAGGGCTTTGACAAGTGCATAAATATTATTAAGTTGCACTTTGTGCGTCGAAGATAAAACTAATTTAAAGAATAAGTAGGTAGATGCAGTTAAGATGAGGTGGTTACCCGCGAGTGGATGTCTCCTTTTAATTTTGGTTGGAATGTTCCAGTTGTGTATAACACTTCCTGTGGGAAATTTAGAATCGGTAAGATTATTTTAAAGTAAATAGGTATACCACTTGAACATTTTGAACTTATAAAAGTACTATCGATAAGATATATGTTATGATATAATCTATAATAATTTATGCCAAATTACCAGCGTAAATTCAATGGGTTTTCAATGCTGAAGAGTGATCCACTAACCCTCAAAATGTACCTACACTGATTCCCGTTTATTGGAATTTAATCGCTTTGTCCGATTTATTTCCTTTCCTGTTCCGTCTTATTACCTTTTACTCCAAATTATTCCCATATATTCTTACGTATTCTTATTCCAATGTCTTCGTTTAATTTACAGGGTGTCCTAAAAAACAGTGGTCAATAGGCAACCACAGATTGCTGAGGTAAAAACAACTGAAGTTAAGTCAACTTTTATTATCTTAATTCTAATCTGATCTGATACAGATTTGGTACACCTTTTAAGGGCGCGGGGTGCGGGAAGCAATAAAAACAAGCATTAAACGTTTCTATTCCTGCAATAGTGACATTCCAGAGGATGTGAATTGAAAATGTTTTCTCCACCCAATCTGAAAAATGTGAATATATCCACTCTATCGCTTGGACATAAAAACGAAAGATTTTGGAAATTGTTTTTTATGAACTTTATTTGTTCGTTCGAGTGGGAAGATAAAAAAATGCTAATCCTTTCAAACTTGCATCATAGATTCATCTATGCAACTTTAGACTTGACAATGGTGACGTGACGTTCTGTAGTGACCTCTGTAATTGGTCGTATCCAACGCTTTCGCCGTTCTTCACTGTCGGCATCTTCGGTGTGTTAATATAGTAAAAAGTCTTAGAAAGAAGTAAACATTTATATTTTTGAACAGAAAAAATCATTAAAAATCAAAATATCATTTCGGTTTCGGCGCTAAATTGAAGTTTCGGTTTCTGCCAAAACTACAACCGAAAGCGAAAAAGTACGTTCGTGAGCTTTCGTGCGGTCCACAGTACAGCACCCCCCCACCCCCTGCAAAATTGATTAGCACATACTTTATAACTCAACTCGTGAGGAGCTTCGTTTTGACGAGTCTACCACATTTTTCCTCTATGACTTTTCTCGATTCCTCCGCTGTTCCACTCGGAGAAGTCCACAAAAATGCAATTTCCCGGGGTCTTGAAATGTCCAAGACCACATCGTTTTTTTTTTTAGCTTAACTTACTGGAAATTTTGTTGTAAATGCCCATTTAAATTTGTCCGATAGAAGTTCTTCTGACATTGACGTGTCTACCGGCCGAAACAAGCCAAAATTATAGGGTATTGAAAATCAATTAACCACATAAGTAATTTTTAGTGAAATTAATTGTAAATAATTAATTCAGTCAAAAAGTATTGTTGTCCGACAAATTTCAAGCCGCGTTTTTTCAGTCCGACAGCTGGAAATCGGAATTTTCACGGGGTATAAGAAATCGATTACCACGTCGGACAAAAATAACACACGGTAGAAAATTATTTTTTATAAGCAAACATTGTAATGTCCGACAAAAATATATCCGCAAATCGTCAGTCCAACAAAAAAAGATGAAAAAAATCCTGAGCGGTACCTACCTTAACGAATATTTTTGACAAGAAAAAATGTACGCCACTGACTTATTTGTAATTTTTATAAATTTTTTGAATTAAGTAACTATAAATACAACTTTTTTGTCTCGTAAATGTTTTTCGTATCTTGATTAATTTTTGTGAAAAAAAAAATAAAATCTACTTTTTTGCATATCCTTGGACGACACAAAAGAGACATGGGGAAATGTTTCTTTTAGAAATTAAAATTTTTTTATAACTTTATATTAATAACATGTAATATATATCTAAATAACATAAAGTACAAATAACTCTGCCAAATTACATCAAAATTGGGTAAATGTTATTTTGACTATCAGTATTTACATTAATTATTACTTATTAATGCAGTACCTACTAATTTATATTTAACAAATAGGTATTCAAAGGTGCACATATTCAACATTATGCTTATCAGTTTTATATCTTCTTGACTTCATTATTTTTATTTTAATGTATTTTATTTATTAATATAATAATGCAGCATTCCTAAAAAACGGTGTAAGATATTGATTGAAATATGGATATATCTTTTTTAGCAAAGAGAGGAATCGAATAATGTGACAAAAAATTCCAAATTTGGTAACTCTGTCAAAGATGTATAATTTTAAATATAATACTGAATATTGCACCATTGAATTATTATAATTTTTCAAATTTCATTGCTGTCACTTCTTACTTTGAAGGTTTGAAACTCGATAGGAACTTTTTTACGAAGTACTAAATTTTTATTTCTCCTGTATACGCCCATTTTGCATTTTTCTGGGTTTCTTATATTTTATACAAAACACTTTCTTGCACTTAACGTTTCGATGGCTTTATCCCCGGTCGTCTTCAGAAAATCATTAAATTTGCTTTGATATTTAAAAATGTTTATTGTACCTAAGTAAATATTTATTTAATGACTGATTATTGAAAGGGTAAACAATCCTGTAAAAATTTCGCATAGCAAATCTAAGTAGGTATTTATTTTCAGGATGTTCCGAATAGTGCAAATACTGAGAATAGACGACCTATAACTTTCTAGTAAATCTATCCTCCTTTAACTTATTAACGAAACGCTTTGTAATGTCAATCGATTTATCATACCCCGTGAAAATTCCGATTTTCAGCCGTCGGACTGAAAAAACGCGGCTTGAAATTTGTCGGACAACAATACTTTTGTGACCGAATTAATTATTTACAATTAATTTTACTAAAAATTACCTATGTGGTAATTGATTTTCAATACTCTGTCATTTTAGCATGTTTCGGCAGGTAGACACGTCAATGTCGGAAGAATTTCTGTCGGACAAATTTAAATTGGCGTTTGCAACAAAATTTCCAGTAATTTTAAGCTAAAAAAAAAAAACTATGTGGTCTTGACATTTCAAGACCCCGGGAAATTGGAGTGGAAAAGCGGAGGAATCGAGAAAAATCACAGAGGAAAAGTGTGGTAGACTCGTCAAAACGAATCTCTTCACGAGTTGTAAAGTATGTGGTCATCAACTTTCCAGGGGGGGCCTGTACTGAGGACTATAATATATACTCCCTTTTATCTTTTTACATACTGCTATTATTTTATTCCCTACACCTAAAATCACCTCCCGGAGTTTCCTAATGGACTTTCAATACACCCTGTATTAAAAGAGCATCTAAACTAAAAACAGCGGGTGACAGTAATTTTTTTAAGGAACAATGAACATATTCTTTAGAAAACATTTTTAATGAAAGTAAATTTTGTGAAATACTTTTTGTTACAGGCTTTAGAAGTTATGGCTCAAATTCCCCAATGGCATTGCATGCGTTACAGAAAATTTGAACTAGTTAGACGGTGTAGAAGTTACAAGAATAGTTTACGGAGATCATAGGGATTTTGACCCAATAATTATATTATTGACTGATCTCATTGTTTAGGTATCATACTGTTAAGAGTAAAATTATTCTTTATTTTTTATTATTTATATACTTATGAAATATTACAATAAAAACGTTTTTTTTATATATATTTAGTGATTATCCTTTTTCTTTGTTTAATTGGGTATTTTGCTACAACGCAGAGAATGAAATACATTTAAAAGTATTTGACTGTTAAACATTTTGATTAACAGTTTTGACAACGGAAACTAATAGTTTCCAAAATTTCTGCTATGTTACAGTGCTTTTAATTATATCAGAACCAAATATCTATTTTTTCAGTGTAATATTTCCAATTAGACAAATATTAGTTTATAAAACAACCCCGTGATGATTCATTTTGCCTAAGGGGTTAATAGTTTTTATAATATTTTTCAAGAATATATTTCTTAATATCTTCTAAAATTTTTTTAATACATTGCATTTTAAGATGAACATTCATTGGAGGTATTGTATAAATGTATGTATGTAATTTGAAAACATTACATTCACTTTTCAAAATTACAAGAACACACTAGTTTTGTAGAAGTTGTAATGCTGTGTATATCTTTTCTGTCTCTGAATATCAGAGATCAATGATTATGCTGTTACTGTCATCATTCTCGTACTAGTTCAAGGGAAATGTTATAATTTGTCAGCAAATTAAGTGTAATCAAAATTGTTCGAAAAGAACAGGAATATTATGTATCATAAAAAATATTCATGTCAATTTTTTCTTCATTTTAAACTGCAAGATTATTTCAGTGCCAATTGTAAATTGTAGACCTCAATTGTATGTAATGTAAGGAGGTAATCGTCGATATGTAAACTGTTCAGGAGAGGCAAAAGTTCTTTTTACGGTGGCACTTTTTGTTGTCATATTTGATTAAATAACTATAACACTTGCATCTTAGTTTGAGTGAAATATTCATATAAGTTATGGTATATATCAAAATATTTTTTTTATATTGCAAAAACGCAATATGTGCATACATTATTCATTTATATCAGGTGGAAGAAGTGGACAAATCTAAAACGTTTTCCCATATACAAAATTATTAAGTAGGTACATACTTATTAATTACTAACAAAAATTAAATACAAAAAAATAGTCAGGAGAAAGAAAAAAATCAACACATACAGGGAGTTTGAATTAAAACTTCCCATCTGGAAAATATTATAATTAAAAAACAAAATTAAAAAAAACCTGATACATGTTGATTTTCTTTTCAAGGGGGACACGTAATGGCGTAAAGTTTTGGTGTCTTGGAAGCTACCCCTTAGGCGGGGGCATAAAATACTCTTAAACTTTAAATGGCACCCCATGTTGAGTGACACTTCATTTTAAAGCTCTTTCAATTCTGTTCACGACGACATACGACTTTTTAAATTTTGGTTTGGCCAGTTGCAACGTACATTCACCAGAAAAACCGATCGAGTACAAAAATTTTGATTCTTTCGAGCACGATCACTTATTTTTTCACAGAACTGCAAGCGATCAGAATCAAATTAATTTTATATGGGTGATACTTATGAATTTTTAAGATTCGACGGCAACTAGGTTCAGAAATTCCTGAAGTACTTGAAAGTTTCCCGAGACTCAAAGGTTCCATTGTAATGTGACCCAGATCAGCTACCTGATTACCGTCATTACGTACGACTTGTTCACGATGATGCTTTCTGTTTGTAACCGATCCAGATTCAGAGAATTTATGCACTAAATCCAGGTCGTACAATACAAAATAAGCTTAAAATCATGATTACTGAGTACTGAAAAATCACAGGTATGCATATTTTCCTACGCAGTATCTACAGTATATGATTCGATTGCAAGGTTCTTATGTCCTAACTTACGACTCGTAAGGAAGAGTAGAACAAACTAATTATTTCCACTTTTTCAGCAATTGTATAAACCAATTTCACGAATTGGAATTCAATGGACTTTGAGATGATTTAACGAGATATTGTCTCGACAAGACAAGACTAGACAATATTGTCTCGTTTAAAGTAAAACAGGTAAAAAAGTTGAACTGATAGAATATGAAGTTTTTGTTTTGACAGATAAACGAATAATTAAAACAAATTGTTTTATCGAGAAATTGTTGAAGAATGTCGTCAGATAACGCCCGAAATGCTTCGAAATGTTCATTCGGAAGTGGAGCAAAAATTTTATTATTGTATGAAAGCGGAGAGAAACCAATTTGAACATTTAATAAAATAACATTCTTTCATTCATTAATATTTTGTCTTATTCTTTAAGTGATGACTTTATTCTCATAACCAAACCAAAATTTGAAGGTTTAAGTACCTTCTAAAATGGAAAATAATGTTAAACTAAAATTAAAATAAAAAATCTACATTTAAGATCAACACATACGATAGAATACTTACCTTATTACATAATTCTTATGGAAGAGAAGAATATACATGGTGATAAATGGAAATAAAGCTTAAAATAATATTAAATTAAAATTTATTTTTTATACCATTTGATGACAAAATTTACAATTTCTATTAAATAAGGAGGGGTGGTACAAAATTTGTATAAAACAATTAAAATTGATTATCTATCACTCCAAGGTGTTTTCTATGTAATAATAAAGTATAGTCTGTTAAGTTAATCCATTTGTACAGGTTAAACCATTTAAAATCTGTATCGTTAAACAATTTTATAAATAAATTTACTGCAATTATACAATTATTAATATTTACATAATTATGTTATCGATAATACACTCAACAAAGACTCTTGTAAAAAAAATTTGCCCGAGCACACTGTTCCGTATTAGTACATTACTGTCGAATCGTTTAATTTTCCCTCGTGTCAAAGAAACATATAAAACAAAACAGGTTAAAAATTCAACAAAACAACACAAGCCACGATTTCGAGACTGCACAATATAATATTAAAAATATCATAAACATTGTAGAATAACAACAAATAACATACAGATTATAATACACACACTACAAGGTCTTAGGTCCGTGGGATGAACAGTAAACGGAATGTTTACTTTATCAGGGTCTCTGATGCAGAGAAACTAAATGCACTCATTCGGCATGGCGAGAGTGCCAACACCTACCCTATACCGATATTTCATAGTTCATATCGTACACGCTGGTACGATCGGGCGTTGTGGGGCGCTGGGACATGTGAGCAGAACACTGAGAGTTTTGTGAGTTTAGTTCTACTGTGTCCGACATTTCCAGAGCTCTGACAAAAGACATGGGCCTCCGTCTATTGTCCGGCACAGTAGGTGTTCCGGCCCCCATCTGTGCTTTACGATGCACCTGTGGGCTCTGCGGGGGATATACAGCCACACCTCCGCGCATTGCTGGATGGTAAGGTCTGGGGGCAGTATATGTCTGCTGTGTGGGACTAGTAGGATTTGACCGATAAAAATCTGGCTGCTGAGGGGGAGGCGCGTAACCGGGCGATGTATCTTTCCACATGTACACACCCCTCTGAGGTGAGTTAGCTAATTCCCTGATATTATCCACGGTGTTGTTCGACCTTGGATAGGAAAGCTGCGCTTCTTGCCTCACGAGTTCGCCTTCTGACATGAAGCGACGCTGTGGGCTGCCGTATCCTTGAGGCATCATCTGTCGCTGAACAGTGTTTTCCTGCGGTTGAAATTCGTAATACTGTCCTGTCTGATTTGAGTAGACCACACCGATGAAGTCAGGACGTCTTGGCTGAGTTGGAGTGCTGGGGTTAGATCTGTGAATAAGCACAAGCGACTACAATACTAGCAATACAACAAAGCACAAGCAAAAGCTCTAGTTACATTCATTTCAAATAAATCTTAGGATGATACTATTCCCCATATTTTTATTTTATTTTTTTCAGTCGATGTAGTCATATACAGGCTGTCTCCTAAAAAACGCCGCAAGCCATAACTCCGTCATTTATAGTCTGATTTTAAAAAACAAAAAAATTTTATGAAATGGCTCTAAATACACTATAGAGTGAGCCTATTGGAGCATATTTGTTGTTTATTATTTTTTGAAAAGCGATAGTCAACTTTTTTTTCAAATGGCAATATAGGTTTTTTTTTTAATTATTATTGTACAGATTTCTATTTTGAATTCAACGATGTATATAAAGTTTACTTTTGTGAAACAAAAATAGCATGAAAATATTAGTCAATACCTCATTATTAGCGCCCGGTCGGTTAATTGACAACAAACATATTTTGACTAATCATGTATGCCTGGAAAACAAAATAAACAACAAAGCAAATAAATGTCATTTTAGCATTCGTGTCCCATTTTTTACGCATTATACTCTTGCTCTGTCATTTACAGTAGGTTATTTATTGAAATAAGCAAATAAGCAGTACAAAATATGAGTAATAATCAATTGACGGACATGATTCAGGTATATTTTCGGTGTAATAAAAATCATGGTGTAGGAGTCCCCCTTTACCGAGAACTATTTCCTCACAGAGAAGTTCCAGAACCACGTAGATTTGTAAGACTTGAAGAAAATTTGAGAAACTATGGTGGTTTTAAGAAACCAAAGCGAGAAGAACACCAATTTAATGAAAACATCGAGTTTAATGTTCTTATTAACGTTGAAGAAAACCCAAGAACTTCCATTCGGGAAATTTAGAGCATCAAAGAAAACTGTATTGAAAAAGCACAAATTCAAACTTCATTCCTCAAAAAGTACAGGCATTAGAGAAAACAATAGAGAACGACAGCTACAATTTGTTTCTTTAGTTGTTTTGTGTTCGTTGTTCTTCGTTTAATGTGTTTTGTCTTTAATTTTGTATAATCGTTAATGTATTTAATTAAATTGTTTTTCTTTTAATTGATATTCTTTGTATTGTTTCTTTTCTGTTAACTACAAAATTCTCTTTTGAGTTTTATTTGCTTTGCTGTATTATTTTTTGTTTTCCATGGCACAGATGATTAATTAAAATACATTTGTCATGAAATAGTGGCTGGGCGCCAAAAAAGTAGACCTTTCATATCCCCTTTCAAAAAAAAATAATAATAATAAATACGCTCCAATAAGCTCACACTATAGTGTATTTAGAGCCATTTCTCATAATTTTAAATCTTTTTTAAAATCAAACTATAAATAACGGAGTTATGGCTTGCGGCGTTTTTTGGAGACAGCCTGTATATGCAGAATGCCCCGCTTAAGACTGTAACGCCTTTATAACCTTTGAAGTTTTTGTCTGATTTATCTTTTTTTAGGAATGGTGTAGAAAACATTTTATTAACAAAAGTCGTTCATAATCAAAATTGAAGTCAAATTACTCCTCAGATCAGACAAATTACTCATTTATTATGTCATGTATATCTATTAGTATTCAAATATTCGTGATTAACCTAACCTAAATACTGTGATATACTCCCAAAAAAAATTTTGACAGAAACAGAAGTTGAACAGATCATTATGAGTAATTTTCGTTAATCAATTTTTTTCTATATAAGAAATGTCTAACATAACTTTTGGATTGTTTCAATCTATTTTTGAGTAAAAGGAAAGCTTGCATTTGGAAAGGTAGTTAAATTTTTGCTCCTATAGTTGATAAGCACCATCTTTTGAGCACAATTTGAATAAAATGGTACAAAAATTAAAAAGTTACGGAGATGATATAATCTTAAGTGGTATTTATTTCAGATGAGTTTGATTAAAACCTGTCAAATGTAATAATTTTGACCCGTATTACAAATTAAAATCAGTTTATTAATTTATTTATAAAATGAATAAAAATGTATAAACAGTTTTGCATCACTTAATTTACCAAAACATAAATGTCTTATTTACAAAGAGAAAATCAAAAATTCATTTAGTTTAGCCAAAAATTTTCAACAAAAATTGATTTTTCTTTTTAATAAAGAAATGCGCAATCCTTATTTAAGTAATAATTAAAATACCGAAATTTAAAAATTGTATGACAAATTTCACAACTTGTAACACAATGGCATATCAAAAATGGAGGATTTATTTAAATTTAATATTTTTTATAGAAATATTTATTTTTTCCGTATTATTTGGGTATTTTGCGACATGTAAAAGAAAACTAAACGTTAGTCAAACATGTCAAAGGTTATTATAGGCAGACAGATAAAAATATAATGTGAAAGTCGATATGTTTTCCTTTTCAGAACTAAGAATGATGTTACATTTTTGATTTTTTTTTATAGGTGGCAAACTACTTAAATAAATTGAGAAAAAATAAAATAAAATCCAGCCATAAATAAATAACAATATTAAAAACATTTGTCTTAGAAGTCTTAATTTTTGTGATAAGTATTAAAGTTTAAAAAAAATATGTCCAAATATCTTCTAAACAAATGAAAATATTGAAATTAGAGTAACAAGGGCAAATATTTACATAAAAAAATATTCTTAAGTCTGGACATTGCTCCTTTATTTTTGACACACAGTATTACATCCTGTAAAACAGCTTGGATGAGATAACTTTGCACATTAATGTGCAACGGACTGTCCTTAACACTACCAAAATCAAAAACCATATTCCAGTGTGAATTTTTAATTACGTTTTGCTGTTCACCCGAATATAATCATTGATGACGGTACACTACTTGCATTTATAAAACTTCTCATAAAGTACCTTTATAGAATATCTTGCATCCCTTAGATTAATTTCATTTAAAATTATTGACAATTCCTTCTCAAAATATCAACATGCTGATGAAAATGTAACTAGCCCATTTTCCACAAAATCTTGCATTTCTTTTAGTTTCTGTTATGGTAAGCAAAACATTTATCATTTGTTTAATATATGTATAATCTTAATCTTGTAACGATGCAAATAAATAAAAACAATTGCATTAACAATAATTTCAGAACTTATTAACGAGGATAATTTTCTGCAATATCTAACTGCAATTTTTGTTATTGAATACTAACTTTGTTTTAATTTGTTGCTATATAATATACTTTTGAAAGATTTAAAAACGAAGACAACTGACTACGTGTATTTTACATAGTGTTTAGTAACAAATCTGCAATACTTCAAGGGTAGCTTTCTTGAGTGAAAATAAATCAATTTATTTAACAGACTCACTCAATTAATAGAAAGGGAAAAGTAGGAGTAATTTAAAAAAGGTACACAACTTTTTATTAAAATTATAACGGAGCGCTTTCAGCAAATTATGCCATTATCAGAATAGTCTACCAGCTTTCTTCTTTTTATTATGTGTCATTTTGCTTAAGTGTAAACATATTTTTTCTCAGCTTGGAAGGTGCCGAATTACGACCCACGGAAACATCATTTGCAGGATGTTTTACATTTCCTTTACTTTTATTCAAAGAAAAGTGTTGACGAAAGTCATCGAGGGCTATTGGGTACTTTCGGTGACCATACTCCATGTGTGAGTATTGGTTTCGAAGGTTTAGAAGTGGCGACTTCAATACACTTGACAAAGAACGACCCGGTCAACTGAAAAAGTTCGAAAAAAAGGAATTGGAAATATTACTCGACCAAGATTCATGTCAAATATAATATGAACCTGCTGAATCGTTGAATGTTGATCGCACAACAGTTTCCAAAGATTTAAATGCACTCAGTACTATTCAAAAGCAAGGAAATTGGGTGCTATACGAGTTGAACCTGAGAGATGTAGAACGGCAATTTTTCACGTGTGAAAAATAGTTTCAACAGCAAAAAAAAAGGAATTTTTGCATTGTATCATTTCTGGCGATGAAAAATGGATACGTTATAATCCTAGGCATAGAAAATGGTGGGTTTTGCATGGTCATGCATCAACATCGACGACAAGACCGAATATTCATGGTTCAAAGCTCATGTGAGACCAGCTTAGTGTTGTGTGCTATGAGCTGCTTCAACCGAATGAACTGGTGAACGCTACCGAGCACAATTAATGCGTTTGAGCAGTGTATTGAAGGAAAAATTCGAGCAAATGCATGATAAAGTAAGTTTGCAACATGACAACGGTCGACTCATGAAGTCAAAAAATACTTAGAAACGTTGAAATAGGATGTTTTACCCCACCCCCCCATATTCACCAGATATTGTTCCATCGGATTACTACTTGTTCCGATCCATAGACACCGCCTGGCTAAGCAGCGCTTCCAATTTCACGAAGATACGAAAAATTGGAATGGACAATACTTTGAAAAATAATAATGTACACAATTTTTCGTAATAAAGCCTTGAATTTACGAAAAAATGCCACAAAATTAATTCGCAGTCTTGGTATTTTAAACATTTATTAAGGAAAGACAGATTTGACACATATAATACGTAAATTTTAATAAAAGCTAAGACTACTGCAAGAAACCAATTTCACAAACATGTGTTCATTTTGTCACTGTCAGTGACTAGTTTTGTCTTTTATTAAACCTATTTTTAATTAAGTGTAATGTAAAATCTTTATCTCGTGTATATGGCGTACCTTTATCTCGTTAATAAGGAGTTTAAAGTAGACACTCATTTCTGATGATGGCATCGTTGCTGAAAGCAGTCAGGTATAATTTATAACAAAGGATGATATTATATGGAACATGGTACAGATATCTGCAGCACTCAATTATGACACATTGTGCATGCTGCTAACAAGTTTAAAAAAATATTAAAAAAAGATTATTTGTGGGGCTGTAACTATTTAAGGAAGCAAAGTACTGCATTTAAATTTGTTTATTTTAGCTACCCTTTAAGTATGGCACATTCATTGCTGAATGCTCAAATTATGAAGTTATTTTTTTACTCATATGTATTCTACATTACATAATAAAAAATGATAGAACAGATTTTTCTCATAAGAGCAATATAAAATATTTAAGAACCTCTTAACGCCTAAATAAAAACATTAAGTCTGAATCTGAAAACTATTAAAATTAAATAATTTTTAAATGAACAAATAGATCTTTGAATATTGTATCAGGGTGTTTTTAAATGAAGTAGCAAAAGTCGTACCAGTGAATGTTGAGCAAAAAATAAGAGGATTCAAGTAAAAATACCTTATATGAAAGTTGCACCCCTGAGGCGATATACCCTCTATAAGGAGGGGATTGAAATTCACATTTTAATTTTTTTCTTTAACATGAGAAATGCTAGACATGAAACTTGGTATGAGCATCCTACTAATAAAGAGACAACTTTTCAATATTTTTTCGATCATTGGCGTATTTTATAAAGGAGTGAAACAGTCAACCCCATTGCAATATTTTATTAGAAACTTTTTATATGAGGCAAAATACTTGTATAAATATATTTATTGGGAAGACTGATTTATTGCGCAACCTTTTTACCTCTTGTAATTTTTCGATAAAACCGATAATTTTCTAGTAAAAATATTAGATGCGTCATCATTCACTAAAGGAGTAATTGCGGAAATTTGTAAAAATAAAGTAGGCGGATGTCATAACAAATAAATTGTTATTTATCATATTAATAAATTGACACTTTATGTCAACCAATAATAATTAGTACCAATTGATTACTTTATTATCAGAATAATTATGGCAAATAATATTTATACCAATTACGAATTTGTCGACATGCTCCAAGTGTTTTTCGAATCCAGAAAAAATAGTAACGCTGCAGTAATATTATACCATGGAAAGAAGGCTTCGCGAAACTGGTCAAATTCAGCCCAATCGTGAGGGTGCCAGAAGAGGGCATAATGTCCGAACTGTTGAAACTGAGGAAGCTATACCAGAATATCTAGAACAAGACTGTAGTACAAGCACAAGACAAGTGTCCAGGCAACTGCAAGTTTCTCACAGTCTTGTATGGAATGGAGCTCATGAAAATCTTTTATACCCTTTTCACCATCAAGAATTGAATGACCCTGATTTACCTAACCGCGTAGATTTTTGTCAATGGTACATTAATATTTCCAGGCATGATTTAAATTTCCTAATGAATATACTTTTCACCTATGAAGCAAATTTTCCTAGAGTAGGTGCAGTAAACTTTCATAATGTTCATTCATGGTCAGAAGAAAATACTCATGAAATATTTGTTTCAAGATGTCAACATAATTTCAATTTAAACGTTTGGATGGGAATTGTAGGAAATACTCTAGTAGGTCCTTTTATTCTTCCACACAGGCTTGTAGCGGCCGAGTATCTTAGATTTTTGAACGAAAATCTTCCAACATTACTTGAGAATGTACCCCTCGCTACACGTCAGGTGAAATGGTATATGCACGATGGGGCGCCTGCACATAGTACACCTGCCATTAGAGAATGGTTAAATTTAAATTACCCGAATCGGTGGATTGGTCGTGGTCGTGATGCCCCTGTTTATAGACCTGCACGTTCACCTGACCTAACGCCTATGGATTTCTGTTTGTAGAGACACAAAAAGTATTGTTTATGCCACTCCTGTTGCCTCCTTAGAAGAACTACTCTTAAGAATATTTCAGGCAGCAGATCACCTTCACAATAACCAAAGAACTGTTTGTGTGAGTGCGTTATAACTTCAACAGACGTATTAGGTTAAGCTTGCAGCAAAATAGACATTATTTCGAGAATATTCTTTAAATTTAATATTGCATTTCTTGTTTTTCGTTTGTATTAAATTTTATTTCGGATAAATAACTTTACCTAATACATGTCCCATAGTCATAAGTCATCAGACATTTTTCATTAATTAATAGCAAATTATTCTTAATGTTATTATTAAATTACCAGTTTATTGACAGAAAGTGTCAATTTATTAATATGATAAATAACAATTTATTTGTTATGACATCCGCCTACTTTATTTTTACTAATTTTCACAATTACCCCTTTAGTGAACAATGACGCATCTAATTTTTTTGCTAGAAAAACTATTGGTTTTATCGTCTTCCCAATAAATATTTTTAAATAAATAATTTGCTTCGTATAAAAAATTTCTAATAAAATATCGCAATGGGGTTGACTGTTTCACTCCTTTATAAAATACGCCAATGATCGAACAAATATCGAAAAGTTGTCTCTTTATTTGTAGGATACTCATACCAAGATTAGTCTCTAGCATTCCTCATGTTAAAGAAAAAAATTAAAATGTGAATTTCAATCCCCTCCTTTAAGAGGGTATATCACCACAGGGGTGCAACTTACATATAAGGTATTTTTTACTTCAATCCTCTTATTTTTGGCTCTACATTCACTGGTACCATTTTTGCTACTTCATTTAAAAACACCCTATATCATTGTCCAACAATCAACTAATGATCTGATCCTGCATATAACCGGAAGCAATTACTTATTTCACTGAAATATTCTTAATTATGACACACAGAAACTGAACACATAGCACAAAAATCGACAAGAACAAAAGGTACAAAGAATCAAATAATAAGCTATATTAACTTATTTATTATACATAAAACTTGCATTTACAACTAAATAAAATTAAAAAATAAATTAGTTACATATGCACAAATTACAAAATAAATATAAGGATATTTTAAAAATGCAAGGTTATGTCTTTCCGGAAAAAATAAAACCAATGGGCGTAAATTTTTATTTTCTAAAATAATTAACAATAAACAACATAGCAGTATAAAATATATAAAATATATTATTTTTTTCATGTATATATATATATTCTAATCACACTACAACAAACTGTACATTTCAATTAAAATTATTAAAGTATTTCTTTTAACTGAGTTTTTGAGCCAAAACTCACGTCAAAATATATGATATATATACGAGATGTAGCTCTAGATTTGGCTATTGAGAAATTATCGAAATATTGCGCAGCCCACTTAAAATATACTTTTCCTAATTAATATTTTGTATTTCAATAATCAAGAAAAAAAAACAGAGGGTATAATAAAAGCAGGTGGAAAAATAGTGACTGAATCAGAAAACAGACCAAAAAAATTCTACCTCAGCCTGAGAATAAGAACGTTAGTAGTTAAAAGGCTTAGAGAAATGAAAATTACACAGAGAATTTATATAAGTGATGTTACGTTAAAGAAACAAAAACTAAATTATAAAATATTTCAATAATTATGTCACAGCCAAAATTATGTTGCTTAGTAACCGCATATAGTTATCCCAGACAAAAATCAACATTTTGGAATGTAAATATTTAACAAATAAAAAAAATAACTAACCTTTAGAAAATATAAAAACTAGAATCATTATTAATAAAAAAATGTATAACATTCATTACTGTCAAACATTTGCTGGAATAACTAATTATTTGGAGCATTATTTGCTTTAATGTAAATCTAAAAAATCTATAAATTTAATGCAAAACAAGATTATACCTATTAATGTTATAATAATAGCCTTTATTATTCAACAGAAGAAATTAAATTTTGTGCATAACCTGAACGCAAAACTAAAAATAATTAAGACTTTTTTGAGACTTTTAAACGTTATTCATCACGTCTTCCTTTTAACTTTTTAGAAAAAATGAAAATATCGAACTAAATATATTTACAGCTGTTGATTTACATTTACAAATTGGCATAAACGTTTGAATATTTATAATTTATAAAAAAACTGGTTTCGTAAAATTGCATTTGTATCTTGTTTTGTATTTAATTTTCATTAGTAAAACTTAAAAATTACACGATTTGCAGAATGGGCAGTCATTAATATAAAAAGTACTAATATTCATAAAGTTAATTTTCAAACGTAGATAATTCAGTTCACACAAAATAACATCTGTACACATTATTGAGAGTTTTGGTAATGTAGATACTTGAGAGTGTTTCATTGTTTGAGAAAATAAATAAGTTACTAATAAAACTTTACTCCTAAAACATAAGGTCCTCTTTTTTTAATGTATGATCATAATTTAACCTTACACACGTATAATATGTAATTTAAGTAGTTGTCACAACTCTTGTAAAAGTAGTTCGGTAGCGATAATTACTTTTCTCTGAAAGTAAATCAGACTAGTTTAATTCTTTTATTATTCAATATAAATAAAAATTTATCTTTCAAATAATTTTTATAGAGAAAGACCATTTACCTTTGCATTAATAAAATCGAGATATAGAAATTAAATAAAAACGCATCGAAAACAACTAATTTTCTTACGAAAGCTCGCTTACCTTCTAACTGGACTAGATAGGGCCAGGGGGGTCGGTACCCCTAATGCTTTTATTCTCTGTTGCATGGTGGGAGACGGTCGCTGTGTACCTAAACTCTCCGGGGTACCGCTACGGTTTGGATCGAGTCCCCTCGGTCTTGGGTGGGGACTGCTACGAGGATAATGGACCCCTCTAGGGTGCCTTGGAGATTCACCCTCGATCGTTGGCAGGAAGAAGTTGCTTTTTGAACCGTGCCTCTGTAGAGGTGGTGTCGGTTCGCAGTCTTGGGATTGTGATGCTGAGGGTTCCATATCTAATTCACAGCCGTCACGACCAGGTGACATCTGAAAATGATACATTACATTCACAAATTTCAGATAGATAATAATAATAATCTTTATTTAGCCAATACTCATAGAAGTTTACAAATTTTCAAGTACAAACATCCTCCTCTAATACAGAAAATGGTACTGTTATTACTTTTATAAAGTAAAATTCTATGTAAATAACACAGGTCAACAAGGGTCAAGAAGCAGGCACACTAATATGCATTCCCGAAGGATTTTGGTGCGCTGAATCCAAATCTGGCCACAGAATTGCTCTATACATCAGGTTTTTGAGATATCCTAACCTAAAAGTGCAAAAAACACTTGTTTTTCGTCATATTTGAGGTTATGTAGTAATGCCATCTATTCTTTTTCAAAAAACTAATACATTGAATCTGAAAGTACAAGGCTCCCTCCTTCGAATGCCGTTGAGTTTGCTCAAATCTTTTTTTTTTTTCGTTGAGATATCACGTTGAAATTTTTAAGTTTCCCAATTTCTTAATATGCGAAAATCTACTAAGGATCCTTTAGACATCAAGCAGTCGATTGCAATTCAGAAACTACATACCAGTAATTCTGCTGCCAAATTCGGATTCAGCGCACCTAATTCCTTCGGAAATATATATTCAAGTTTCTGCTTCCAAAAAAAAAAAGTTAAATTTTGTTGGTCTGTGTAATAGTAGTCCAAGCATTATAGAGAAATGCTTACAGAAATTATTACCTGGACAAAAAAAATATGGCCGTATAGAAAATTAAATTTTAAATTGACTTTCTTGTTCTTTAATCTCGATCCAAAATGGTAAACATGGTTAAACACGTTTACATTTAAGTTCCCATACTTGCTATTTCCTGCAAGATTAGCCCACGGCAAGCCAAAAAAGTACATTATTGAAAAATTTTAAAATATTAAATATTTTTCTAGACATATCGATTTTTTGAAAAAAAAAGGCGCTCTCGAAAATTGGCTAGATCTTCTCAGCGGATAGCCCTACAGTAACGATTTTTGGTTTATTTTCTTCTCAAAGAGTTATATTATCATGCTGTTAAAAAATGTTGACGATTTTATTAATTTTAAGGATAAAAAAATAACTGAAAAGGTTGCACTTTTGTTGAGTATGTTTTTTTGAAATAACTATTTCAATTTTTATTTTATGAAAATAACTTAAAGAAAGAAAATACCGACATTTTTTCACGAATTTAAAAAAAATATATTTTTCTATGACCTTCTGGAGGCGAGATAATTTTTTTATTTAAAAAAAAATTTAGTCACAATTAACATTATACAGTGATGCGTTTGATGGAGGTTAATATTGAATAGGTACTTATATTTTCAAAAAAAAAAAATAGGATATATTTACTTGATTTTTAGTATTAGTAATTGAGTAATAAACTGAAACATGCAAGCGCTGAGTGCATCAGCTGAACCGGACGGAGAACTAGGGGGAAGCGGCAAGCGCTCGCTCTGAAAACTGATGACGTGCAGTCCAAATGGCTCGCGCTTGCAAAATCTTTGATATCTCGGCTTCTGGACCACGTACAAACATTCTTTTGTATTTAATCTGGGGTACTCGACGAGATAAACACGAATATCATAATCATTTTCGCCTTAGAAGCAAAATAGTCGTCATTTCAATAATTAATAATATTACAGTATTTTTCGTGTAATCCCTTAATTTTTTTGCTTCATTAATCATACTGACGTTATGCTTGTTGCTGGCTTTTTAACAATTACTTCATTATTTCAATAATTATTTCATTAATTAATTCTGGTGTAAAATAAGTTTAAAGAATTTAATTTATTTACAAAAATATTTAATAATACAACTATGTATAAAATAATATGTATTAAATTGTTACAATGAAAACTAACAAGTATAAAAATTGATAAAATTATTTATCGAATGAAATTCTTATTTTCTTTGTCGGATTGTTTTTTGTTTCATTTTCTTGTTCGTCTTTCATAGTTTCGTGAAGTATGTTGAAAGCATCAAGAGAATAATTGTCAACATTTTCACATTGTGACTCAACAACGGTTTCGTTGAGAAGTTTGTCGAAAGTTAGAAGGAGTTTCAAAGTTTTCACATTGTGTTGAGTCACAATGTTTGCAGACACTCGAACATTTGAAGGATTTTTTTCTACAGCTACACACTTTAGTTTTGCAACCACTTGCACAGCTACATGATATATTTTTATTATTTCCTCCGGTGTCAAGGGTTCTTCAGTATAAACTGGCATTAACATATTAACTATGACTTTCCACCCCCACTGGGTTACATCGTAGTCATTGCCCACCCATTTTTGCAATTGCAAATAAACTCTGAAGGCATCTTATCTGGCAGCTCCTTCAGTTGGAGGAAGATTTTCTAATTGAAATGAAGCTCAAGATGTAGATGTAAAAATGTTGTATTTACATTTAGCACCCCGCAGGCACGAGCAAAAGGTCAAGTGGGCGAAAGCCAACTTGCACCTTTCTAGAAATTATAATGACGATAAAAGTAAAAAATGTACGTTAAATAAAAACTAAACATTTAGGGGACTATTTTGCTTCTAAGGCGACAATGACTATAATATTTGTGTTTATCTCGTCAAGCTACCCCAGATTAAGTCATTTTTTGATCCTTAAAATTAATAAAATCGTCAACATTTTTTAACAGCATGATAATATAATTCTTTACGAAGAAAATAAACCGAAAATAGTTGTAGGGCTATCTGCTGAGAAGATCTAGTCAATTTTCGAGAACGCCTTTTTTTCAAAAAATCTATAAGTATATCTCTAAAAATAATTAATATTCTAAAATTTTTCAAAAATGTACTTTTTTGGCTTGCCGCGGGCTATACTTGCAGTAAATAGCAAGTATGGAAACGTAAATGTAAATGAGTTATAGAAGAAAAGAGAAGATTTTTAACGGTTTAATCGATATATCTCGAAAAGTAACAAAGCAATCGATACTTACAAAATATCAGTCGATAGATCTTTTTAAAACCTACAACTTTCTCATTTCAAATTTTTCAATTTGTGCTATATTTTTTTAGTTATTTTAGGAAAACCGTTTTTTTCCACCTTAATTTTTTTTCCATTTTAGATCGAGTTTAAAGAACAAGAAACTCAATTTAAAATTTAATTTCCTATACGGTCATATTTTTTTTTGTCCAGGTAATCACTTCTGCAAATTTAACATTAGGCCGTGACAGAATAAGTGACCGTGACTATAAGAGGAAATTCAGGCTATAATTTAAGCAAATAAACTGTAACAATATTTGTTTAGTTATTTTTTCCTGTAAATAAGGACCTTCCTTTTTTGTTTCAAATCGAGAATTGTTTTACCAAACTTGCTGGAATGTTTAGTAGGATTCATATACATTCCGCCAAAAAAGTATCCAGAATTTGTCATTTAAAAATTTTCTCGTAAAGTCGATTTAAATTTCTTGTTTGATGAAAAGTTGGCAGCACTGTATTCCACTCTGACGTGAAGTTTGAGAGCGAGCTGTCAAGTAGTTTGTTAACAAATGTTAATTTTGCTTCGTTTTTGAGCTACAATTAAAAAACTGAAAGGGGTGCCTTTTCACCCCTATCTCCAATTTCCACCCTTTAATTTAATAGCATTCCGCGGTTTTTTCATCTAAAATGACCCTTTGAACGATTCATGCAATAAAATTGCTTGCACGTCAAAGTTCCTTTTAACCCTGTTTTTTTGAATATAATCAATAGCTTAGTAACCCACATTTCTCATTTTTTAACACACCTATTTGGAAATAAATAAATTTTGTAAAATACGTTATTCGGTTGTTAAAGACAAGAAATAACTGCCAAAAAATTATTAATATCGATGATAAACATAAATTCCAAAGGTCAGTAAGTTTTTGATCCAATAAAATGTTCAATAGCCAAAAAATTGTCACAACCACATATAATTTTGAGGTAACGGTGTTCTTAGTTCACAAATTGTTTTTTCTGAATTTGCTTTCTGAACTTAACTTATTTATGGTGTATTCGGGTGAATGCTGTAATGCGTGCTAAATGCGAAACTATACTCACTTTATTGTAAGCGTTAGAGTTGATATTCCGAACTCCATTGCTGTTATCCATGTAAGTTTTTACTTGACTATCGTTTGTGATCGTAGCTATTGGTCCATGAGGACAATGTTTTCGTTTCGCATTGTACTTGTGTGGTTTTATTAAGCTGTAAATGAAAGAAAACATGTTATAGAAAGGAAAGTGAACGAAAAATTTTTAAAATACCTCGGGAACTGTGGCCCAAACTGTGTGTAACAACAGTTATCCCAACAACCTCTCGAAAATGGATTGTAGCCGCCTTTAAATTTCCCCGTTACTTGTTCATTTGTTGTCCGACCTCGAGACACCAAAACCATATGGAAACCTGTTAAACCAAATATTGGAATCGCCAATAAAGCTATCAGTCCCATCAGCACCATACTAAGCTTAGGTTAAGGAAATATTTTTTAAGATTAAAAATAAACAGTTGCTACAATTTTTCTAAAAATGCTCCAGAGTTAAATGTCCTTTGAGTGAAATTAATTGATACTTAGGTAGACTTATGTGTTGTTCTTTTTTTTTTAAAGATTTCAAATAATCAGTATACAGCAAACGTACGTATGGAGACTTCTTTTAGTAAAGTTCCAATAGCACTAATTCGTATTTAACAATTACAAAAACACATATTCCATATACAGGGTCGGAAAGTCCCCATGGTTCATCGGCCATTACGTGAGAGCGATAAAGTCATAGAAATTCGTGTGATAGAGAAGGATGGCTATAATGAAGGCGTCTCATAGTCACCACCCGTTTCACCCTTCCACAAATAAGATCCACTTCCACTTGTAATTCAGCGACCGGTGGTCATCTTTGTTTCCGTTGTTTGGCTTTTCTTTAATAGATGTCACTACTTATACAATTTCGACTCTGGTATTCCGATATATTAATACAATCCAATAGCAGAGGGCAGCAGGGCAGCACAACGCGTAACAAAGAAAACTTTTTACAGTAGCTAGTAGATACCTCTGTTTGTAAATCTAGTGACCTTGTTTCCCCTACTGAGAAGTTATTCAAATGGAGTATAGTGCTCAGCTGCATTTAAAGTTCATTTAGTTGTTATTTAAGTATACTTTTTAAAATGACTTAAAAATCCCAAGAAATAAAGCAAAATTC